GAGCGTCGTTACAGCCACTCCCCTCAGTTTCTTACCACTCGTTTCAGTCAGAGGACCCTGGTGGCCCTCAACATGCACAGTTGAACCAGTCTCTGATGCCCCTCGGTGGGGCCTCTTTAGTGATTCACCTTTCGCATTGTTAGATGAGTCGACTTGTCGACCATGTCAGATTTGGGTCTCGCCCATTTTTCTTTTATCGTCACATTCTTCTTCTTTGCAGAAGAGAGAATCCCAAACCCTGCCCTCGCCAACCTCTCAGGATTCATGATGATCTGTTTTGATTTGACGGCTATAATATTCCTCAGTTGTGAAAAGAGAAATTGACGACAAGTGATAAAAGACTCGGTACTTATTTAGTTATAGAGCACACCGGGAACGAAATCCTAAGGGAGATCATGTGTTTAATAAATTCATAAATTTATTGCTAACGATTGTTTGATAACTTTTTTGTCCTTATTGTAGTTATCGCTATCAAGGAGCAAGAAAACTTGGGGAGTTAATATGTATATACCAAAAATACAAGCATGAATCTAAAAGAGAATAAACGACCAAGATGAAAGGGCCTCATTTCAAGGTAAGCAATCAACCAAATATTCAAGGTCGAGCATGAAGTTGTGTCTTCAAACCCAGTATAAGTTCAAGCTCCGGAGATGGTTCCCCGCTCGGTAGCGGCAAGATCTGTCGAAAGTGAGGTGTAAATCATTCCTGTAGCAAGTTTCATCGAATACCTCGCGTGAGCTACGATTAGATCCTCTTAAGTCCTTACAAGGTTGGGAGATTCGGCCGAGGTGATAAACCAACTAGGCAGACAAGACATGATCCCTGTAAGAGTCGAGCTGAATGGGAAATGAGCCACAACTCACTACACAAAAAGCTGGTTGATCATATTTGACCAACCAACCCGGCGTTCGGACCTAAAAACCACCACACAACAAACTGCTTTGGTCGACCATGCCAAAAAACACCGAGCAAGATCACCATACAACTGAACTAAGACTAACCAATGCGTACTCTAGAGAGCATAGATGACACTCGATTGGCCGCGTCAGTCGGTTGACTTCAAGCCAGCCAACCAGCCAATCACCATCAATGTTCAAATTTAAATTGTAATATAAATATGGAATAAAATCTATTCAATCAATTAGAGCCTTAATGTCATTAAGAATGACTTCCATAATTGTTCTCTTCTTTCTATAATTGTACAAATCAAGTCTCTACAAGTGCAAGACAAAATTATGAATAAATGGACATTTCCTTCGATTCTCCCTACAAAGATTTGTGATTTATTGTACTCTCTCTTCCTTCTTTCTTCACTCAGCTCTAACTCTCGGATAGTGATCACAAAGGAAAAACTAGGATCCAACAAATTACATGTTATTTGGTATCTATTTATAAAGCACACAGGGCAAAGAATCCTAAGAGAAGTCATGTGTTAAATCAATTCACAAATTTATTGCTAACGATTGTTTAATAATTTTTCTGTCCTTATTGTAATTATCACTATCAAGGTGCAAGAAAACTTTGGGAACTAATATGTATATACCAAAAATACAAGCACGAATCTCAAAGAGAACGAACGATCAACATGAAATTACCTCCTTTCGAGGTAAGCAATCAACCGACGATTCAAGGTCGAGCATGAAGCTGCATCTCCAAACCCAGGATAGGTTCAAGCCTCAGAGATGGTTCCCTCTCGGTAACGACAAGACCCATCGAAAGTGAGGCGTGAATCATTCCGGCAGCGAGTCTCGTTAGATATCCCGCGTGGGCTGTGACAAAATCCTCTTAAGATCTTACAAGATTGGGAGATTCGATCGATGTGATGAACCAACCAGGAAGGCAAGCCACAAATTCTGTAAGCTCGAGTCGAATAGAAAATTAGCCACGACTCACTACAAAAAAAATCGATTGATCACATTTGACCAACTAACCCCGCGTCTGGACCGAACAACCACCTCACAATCAACCGCACTGGTCGACCGTGTCAAAAGAAACCGAGCAAGATTATCATACGGTAAAACATTGACCAACCAATGCATATTTCAAATGACACTCAATCAGTCGCTTTAGTAGGTTGATTTTAAGCCAACCAACCAGCGAATTACCGTCAATGTTCAAATTCAAATTATAATATAAATATGGAATAAAATCTATATAATCAATTACAGTCTTAGTTTCATTAGGAATGATTTTCATAACAGTTATCTTATTTCTATAATTGTACAAAACACGTCTCTATAAGTACGAGGCAAAAATATGAATAATGGGACCTTTCCCTCGATTCTCCCTACAAAGATCCTAGACTTATTCTATTTTTTCTTTCTTCTCTCATTCACTCGGCTCTAACTCTCATAGCGTGATTCACAAAGGACAAACTACATGCTATTTGGTATCTAGTAAAGTGATCAAATGATATATAATTATTTACTTTTAGATTTTTAAATTTACCATATTAACATTTATAGTTATTGTATGGTAAACAATTCTAAGAAAAGTTAGGTTTTAGCTCTATAGAAATATTAAGCACACACTAATGAAAGCGATAAGAGCTACTAAATTTTTTGCATGAAAATCTTGATAAGGAAAAAAATTATTAGTCTAGTAAAATTATTTCATTATTTAATTGAAGTTAGAGAGCTTCACTTTTCTTCATAATTAGATAAATTGGGATTAGAAATTATTGAATGCTTGGTGTTCTTCGATTGTAATCATTTAGTTTGTTAAATGATAGCATCAATTAAATAATAATAAATAGGCAACAATAATTTTGATGTGTCAGCAATAAATTTTTATCAAGCATGAATCTCAATGTATTATTTATAAGGGGTCTTTGAAATTCAAATTGAAGATCATATGAGCCCTAATTTCAACAAGTTTATAGCCAAACTGATCATCACCACAAGACAAATCCAATGATGTCAAATTTGGTTCAATTCGAGTCGAATTAAGGCCGGATCAAGACACTGACGCATAATTAGAGTCTTTAGATCATCAATTGAATA